GGTTCTAGAAGGCTTGTAGGAGGGTTCTTCACGGGTTCAGTGCGGCTTCTATAATGTTGCTACAGGGGCTCTCGAAGGTGTCTCTAAGGGTCACATAAGGCTTCTTTTTCGGTTTCGACAAGGATTCTTTCAGGGTTCAGGGGTTGAGGGGTTTAGGGTTGCGGTTCTGGCACCATGCCTAGAGGCTCCTGTGGGGGTTGGGGGCTCAAGTTTAGGGTCTTCGGGATGCAAGAAGTCTAGTTTTCGGTTTTCGGGGTTTCAGTTTAGGGGGTGGGTAGGGTGTACGTTTTGGGTTTAAGAAGCGCAGTTGTATGGATTTTGAGGTGTCGGGTTCAGGATTGCGCCTTTGAGGTTCTGCGGGTTCCTGGGAAGCTAACGCCAAAATCAAGAGGACCCTGGCTGGAACTCTAGCCAAGGCAGATGCTAAAACTCTGTAGGCCATGAGCCCGACACAGTACAGATGCTGAAGCCTGAATAGAACTCCCAAGCCCGGAACAGATCTAAAGACCGAAACCTCAAGCGGCAGCTATGAGTGTTTTGAACTCAGCTCCTTTCTGACATCTTTCTAAGCCTTTCGAAGGCGATTTCAGGACCCACACAGGCACCGCCATCCAGACAGCCGACATGAAGCTCTAAGAGCATGTCTCAGGCAGTCCCAAGCACAACTGTAGAAGAAGAAGAAGCCTATCGAAAGGGATCCTGAAGCAGGTGCTGGATACCGGCCAAGCGGCCTTCCCACCCCAAACACCGTGGAGAGTCTTTCCCACGTCTTGGCCTCAGCCGGAAGGGATGTTGGATTGGCGTTGACGCAGGGAGTCACAACACCCCGGGAAATTCGGTGGAGTAGTTCTTCGTTACATCGAGAAGCTCCACTCCAATCAGATTGATATTCTTTCAGGAAGCCATCTAAGCATCCTTCTACAATTTGTTTTTTGCTAAAGCCATGTGCCACTGGTAGCCTGCACTCCGACAGTTTTGCCCGCGACCCCAAACCCTAAACCCTAAAGGCCATGGACGAGGAGATTTGGAACAAGCTCAGGCAGCAGCTGCCACCGCCTCAGTGGAGCTTAGGATTTGGGCGGATTTTGGGCTCTCATTGCGGTTTAGTACTCAGGGACTTTTTGGGTTTGCACTGAGGGCTCCTTGAGAGGGGTGATGCCTCCGTTTAATCACTTTCGTTTCGTGGCCCTGACATCAAATCGCCTGCTACTTCTGTTCTGTTTTGCTAAACCCTAAACCCTAAACCCTAAACCGTACCGAAGCGCCAAAAATTAGAGGTGGAGCGAGTTTTCAAGCAGAGCTCAGCTGCGAGCTGAGCGTCTTGTGAATCTGATCTAAGGCGCAGCCTGCAAGACAATATCGATGAGATCACCGCGAAGTTTTCACCGTTCGGGGCCTGGCATTTCTGTACAGAACGATTGGAGCAGTTGGTGAACAGCCCTGCAGATTGAGGCCGAAGACAAGCACGCTTTCGGCCGAAGGAACCTGTGCGTACCCTTCGAAGACTCCGCAGAGTGCCCGATCCCATCGCGATATGGACGTGCGATTCTTCGCGCCTCCTCCACAGATGTCCCCCCACATCCACTCTGGGCGCTTCCAGCGCGTCTCCCACAGCCAGCTGCCACAAACTCCACAGTCCGTAGGCTCCGATCGCCTGCCACAAGCATGGCATTTGCAAAGCCACTTGCCTGACCACATTATTCACAGCAGTGCAACTTCCGAAAGCTCTACATCCGTCCGTCAGGCGAGGCAATCCGTGCAGGGCCTCAACTCCCTAAACTCCTAGTCCGAAGCCCCAACCCATAAACTCTTGTCCGAAACGTTACAGAAGCCCTTGGTGGAACGGCAAGATTCGTAGGCGGGCAGCTGTCGCCGAGCTTCCCGCACCAGCAGTGCATCGGATTTTCGGCCCAGGCCCAAGCATTGTTCTGCTATTGCTCAATACGCTAATTCTGGCAAAGGTAGCAACCACAAAAGACACTGGCAACGACGATAGCAGCATCGACACTAGTAAGAACTACATACACTGAAGATTATCTCATGCACGACACACTACAGGCTTTCAATCGTTGTCCCCTCGCCACAGCACACCCGAAGCCTGCAACTTGGCACAGGTTGCAAGCTTTCGGCAGCACGTTGTTTCGCCTTTCATCATATCATCATGACGCATGCTCTCGTTCTACACTATGTTCCGCTGTGTTATTAGTGTTGTGTTGTACTGCGTGAAGGTGGAATTTGGGTGCTTCTGGTCAGCTGCATGGTGTTTGGCGCTGTTCTTTGTATTCCGTTTTTCCCGCAGATGTCCTTTCTTTAGGCATGCAAACCCCCAAGCCCACTCCGGACCCCGCGCCTAAGGCCTGCGGTTCTGCCCGGATTCGAGGTGCGCAGCTCGTTTACCTTTGAGCTCTGTGAGAACCTGACAGCTTGCGGGGCTGCGTCTTTAATTTGCTTGGGGCCCGCCACGCCCCGTGCTGTGGCCGCCCGATGCTGTTGCAGCGGTTCTCGTGCGGTGGAAAGTGAAGAAGGGTGTAGTTAGTGCTGACACGCTCAATGGCAGTATAGTGACAAAGACGAAAGGAAGTTCAAGGGTTCTTGGACACCTGGTCCTGGAGGCATGGTTTAACGAGGAGATGTCTCAAACTCTGCTAGTCGGTCTGTTCCGGGGTTGCCGTAGGTTTACCGTAGCTCTACAAGCCCAACTAAGCCAACGAACCCATTGTCTAATGTATCTAAGTTCCATAAATCTCAACCTCTGCCGTAGTTGGGGCCAGAGTCGCCAGAACCAAAGCCCAAAGATCAAAGCCCCAAGAAACCCACCGGGTCCCAAGCCCCAAAGCTTCAAAAGCCTTTGTAACTGCAGCCGCTGAGCCTTGGAACCTGCGACGCTCTTTTGCATGAAAGACAGGCTGACCTCCTCTGCTCTCCATCTCGAGCTGCCCTGTGCCCGCAGGGCTGCCCAGAAACTTCTACATTGAGAAGACGAGTCCATGCCCTAAACCCTGATGTAGTGGCCTCAATAAGTAGAATAGGGCTTTGGGGCCCATCATACTATAATTAGAGTAAGGAATCCCCAAAGTAGTATTGGCAGTTATTTCGGCCCCTGTATTAAGCCCTTTAGATGTTTGGGCTTGTAGCTGTCGGACGCCGGCTTCGAGCGCTTGCTTCGGGCGAATCTGGAAGTGTAGTCTGAACTTCTGGGTAGTTTGCGGTGTGTAGTATATTATAGTATCTGCTGGTATTCTGTTTAATATCTAATATATTACAGTATATGATAGCATATTCTGTTATAGTATAGCATATTATAAAAAAAATTCTAGCCGGCTTGCTCTACAGTTGGAATGGGTTGTGGAATCGCAAGCTCACCATGCTTCCCAAAGCGAGAGTCAGCTGACTGCAATGCGACAAGCATATTTTTTCATTCAACATGAGGCTATCGGGTCTCTTTCTGGTTCGGAGCTGGATTCGGTGCCCATGTGCAGGGCGATACCCGGGTGCCAGACTCGCAGTACCTCGAGCCTCAACTCAGTGTCAGGGCCTCAGCATAGTCCTTGGCATTTCGTTGCACCGCAAACTAACCCTGAACTCACATAAATAGCATAGAGTCTATAAGTTCATTGGCAAATACAAGCAAAAGCCAACATGCCACCCCCCATGTGCCCATCCTGTTGTGTCGTAATGAGAGCAAGGCACAAGTCGATGGCTTGCTGGTGCTCGATAAAGAAAGCAGCCGTACGGTCACCCATCCCTCATGACACACCCAACTCTTCAATGCACCGTGATTGGTCTACATTCCACCACATGTGACCATCTCCGATATGCAGACCTCTATGCACCTTTGATCTGCGAGTGTTTAGGGCGGCATCTTGTGAGGGTTTAGGGTTTACAGTTTTTGTCAAGTGTTTGGCATAGATCGTTTTTTCCCAGAAGCCCTAAGAAGCACCGCCCTAAGCCGCTAAACCCTGAAACCTTTGAACCCCTAAACTTCTAAGCCTTACCTGCTGCACAGGGTCCCGCCCCAGCTCACGCCGGGTAGTGCCAAGCTCACTCTGCGGGCGGTGCCTCTGGAGATTGCCGGCCGGAGGCTCAGCCTCATACATACATACAGACATACATGCATGCATACATACATACATACATACATACGTACCTACCTACCTACCTACCTACCTACCTACCTACCGACCGACCGACCTACCTACCGACCGACCGACCGACCTACCTACCGACCGACCTGCCTACCTACCCTACCTACCTACCTACCTACCTACCTACCTACCTACCTACCTACCTACCTACCTACATGCTGTCATACATACGTACATACATACATACATACATACATACATACATACATAGATAATTCGCATCC